CTACAAGCAATTATTCTTGTGATAAAACCGATTTTTCAAAAATAAATAATTCTACTGACTTGTAAAAAGTTTTTACAGTTTAGCTGTCAATTTTACAGTCAGTAGAGCCCAATGAACTATAGCTAAAAACTGGAATGCGCACACATTGCCATATCTGCCAAAAAAATGAAGCCATGAAAGACAGATGCCACAAGGGGGAATGTTGTTTTTTTCTGTTGCTCGCTGACATATGATGTTTTCAAAAGTTTTTTCATATTTCCCTTCACAGGTTTCATCAATTGGAATACGTGTTGGAAGCAATTTTCGCCATTTAACATAATGAGTGCGACAAAAACAGGTATCCCCTCCGCAGCAGCCGCACTAGGCTTCACGTTCGTCCTTATGTGTTAGCATTCCAGTTTTTGGTTATAGTTCATTGGTAGAGCCAGTAGCTTGTAAAAATCAATTTTCGCTGGTTATGTTATGACTTGATAAGTGACGTTTTACAAATGAGTGACAAATAAAAATATATATAGGATTTCATAAAAATTTCTCGACTTGGGTCCATTTTCGGAGTAACCGGAAGTGATATTCAATTGGTTTTTTTACGAAAAATGTGCGTCTCAATGACTTACCCGTTCCACCCAATTTTCAAATTTTCAACTTTAAAGACAACTGAATGACGCCTTGTATAACGATTTCGTTGTCACCCGGTATAGTATTTATCTCTGCTTTATCGCGAAAAATCAGTAAAGTCTTGCTTGTTGTACGGATAACCCACGTGTAATCTAAATTTGTTGCAGTGCTTAGTGGCATCGTATCTGAAAATAGTGAATAACTTATGTTTTATTTTAAACTAATGGATGAAATATTTTCTTTAGGGTAGAGGAAGGGTTAAATTTTGAAATTATCATGAAGAAACTGCATTCAATGATTTTTCTCACGTTATTATTTGGTAGTCGAGAACCAGCTTTTAAAAATTGACGATTTTTGGTTTCCGACCGCCTTGGTCGAAAACAAAAATGCAAAAGCTATTACTTTTATTTGAAAAAATATGTTAAAGAAGGACTTTAAAAAATTTAATTTTTGTTTATTGTTTATAAATAGCCTTCAAGAACCTAAATTTTGGTTTGCGACCACCATTTTAAATTGAAAAATTATGAAAATGTTCTTTAAAAGAATTACTGAAAATTAGTGGTCGAAAACCAAATTGATCTAGTCTATTCTCGACCACCCTCCACCTTAGAAAATTGGCGGTCGAAAACCAGATCGATCTTTTCCTTTTATCGACCACCTTAGGCATCTTATAAAGATATATGAAGGAGTGACTTCTTGTGTGACTTTTGAGCGGTCGAGAACCAACCCTAAAGTGGACGAGAATTGTGACTGGTGTCGTAATAGCTATTTATGTACCAAGGGGATTATGCAGATTATAATGCCCGAAGGCGAAACTAGCCCGAGGGCCTATGGCCCGAGGGATATATTTCGCCTGAAGGGCATTATAATCTTGAAATCCCCGTGGTGCATACAATGCTTTATTTTCTACTCAACACAATGTTTTTTCATCAATTTGTTATTAACAAAATCAGTTAAACTTGTGTGACAGAATATTGTTTTGTATTTTGACATGTACCTGCACCTATGACCTGTACCTGTACCTGCGACCTGTACATAGAAACGAAATAAATTAATATATCTATAAACATATCTCATAAGGCAAGGCAACGGTGGTGGTCCTGTGGGTTAACGCGCTGGACTACATGGGAAACATTGATGGTAGACCGGGTTCGAATCCTGGCTAGACCGAAAATTATTTTCGGTCAGACATTTAGTGGCTGCCTAGGGTAAAGTGCAAATTAATAGAACAACAACAACAAAAACACCTTAAGGTATTATAAGCGGGCGTTATAGATCATAACGCCCGCAAAAGCGGGCGTTATGGATCAGGTTGTTATAGGTGTGTTAACGTATTTCGTTTCCTAGGTATTATGGATCTATAATAGTAAAGTAGAAAATAAATAGAATAAAATGCACTTTTTCAACATTTATTCAATTTATTTACTAATTTGAAATAAAATCCCAAAAAATGCAATTGTAAACCTATCTTAAGACGTCAAAAATTTTAAAAAATATATCAGTTGAAATTTGACTTAATTTTCCGGCATTTATCACATCTCAAAATCAAATTTTCTGTTCAGCAGGTCGTAAACAAGCACATTCACCCTATTTTAGGGGAGCCTTAACGATAAGTAGTATTTCCTTAAATGACATATTTACATGGAGAAATGTCAGTTTAAGGAATATTTATCGTTAGGGCTCCCCTAAAATAGTTGGTGGAAACGGCCATTTAGACTAATATTTTCGCGCCCTGTCAAATATAAATATTTTCAACCAATGTTCCACAGCCCCCTACATTTAACAAGCCATGAAGTTAAAAAGGCAACACCGCAATCTTACCGCCAAGTGGTGCTGGTGGTGTTTGTTTGTATAAATATATATTTTTTATTTTATTAATATGAATCACAAAAAATACATAATTTATTGTACTAAAGGGCCAAAAACAGTAATTCAATGAATAATTTAACTATTTGTGTAAATAAGAACAGTAAATAATTGATTTAAATGAATATATTTCTAGAGTCTAAAGTGTTATAGGCCTATGTTTCAGTATGTCTTTTGAAAATCTAACTTTTTCTTTCTTCGGGATTTTTTCGAAAGGCAAGTCCATTCAAATACTTGAGCTGATTTTCGAAAATAAGAGGTAACTACTTTTAAGAGTTGGACGTTTTCGTTTGAACTCTCGAACTACGCCTTTATCCTTGTTTGTTTCAAATCTAATTATTTCGGTTTCTTCAAAATGTTTACAACACACCACAGAATTTTTCGTTATTGTATAATCTCGGGTATAATTATCTTGGTGTATTGCTTTCATCCACATTTTTTGCACTTCAGAATTTTTTTGGAAATAAAAATGTTTGCATTTCTTCAGTTTTTAAGGAACTGCTAATAGTTCGATTTGCACCCAGGAACACAGTAGTTTCATGGCATCTGGAACAAGTTTAAATATCTTAGGTAATATATCGAGACCTATGCTCTTGCAGACAAATATTAATATTGTTTTTATTGTTTTACCTTACCTTACCTTCATTTTTGCTCCTGTACCCATTTGCTAAAAATTTGCAATCAAAGCACAAAGGAACAGGTATCAACTAAATATGGGCAATATATTGGTGTGTTTCTATCCACTTTTTCGTCAATAATGCCCATAAAAATACTAAATTGCAACAATACACAATGAAAGCAATACACAGAAACACATAACCCAATAACAAAAAAGCACCATACGCGACGTTGCCGTCATTTCCAATTTCATGGCTTGTTAACTATAGGAGGCTGTGAATGTTCACAAGACAAAAATCCCTGAACTAGGGTCTTCATTAGTTGTATTCCTTTCACACCTAGGAGGAGCTCCGGGGCGCTACGCGCTTATTCCTTTCGAAAAGTGTTTGTTGCATCACGCATCTATTCCTTTCAAATCGGGGGCGACTAACGACTAACACCGGAGCGAGTAGGCTGAGTAGCTCGAGGGTTCCAAACTCTTGAAAGGCATATTTACAAGTACCTATTTATACTTGCTCGAAAAAAAAAGGTAGATTTGCTTGGAGCAGCTATCAAGACCTGTTTAATTATTTTAAGGTTTAAAAGTCAACCCCTATTTTCTGAACCTTGTGTTCAAAAATTCCAAAAAAAATATATGTTTTATGGTTATTGATATACTTTGATCCATAATTTTTTTAAGCAAATTTGACTCGCCATTTTTGAGTTATATCGCAAAAACTAAAAAAAAAAGTGGTTTTTCACCATTTATTTCAAAACGAATAGATGAAGTTTCCCGTTATTTTTATTACGAACTACTATTGCAATTCTACGCGACATATATTTTTTTCAAATTTTTTGAACTTAGTTTAGTAGTTTTCTCGCTACTGCAAAAATAGTTGGAAATACGCCTGTAGCTACACTGCTTAAAAAAAAATCCGACGGATGAACGTTCAAAATTATTTGCGTTGGTCCAAATTACAACCCTGTTTATGTAAAACAGAATAATACTTCGAATTTCCGCAAAAAAAAGAAAAAACTTTCCATCACACAATTTAACCAAATGAAGATTTCTATTTTTTTTGACTATCAAGTTAGGGCACACTGTAGGGGCGACAGCAATGACAACTACCGTTGCTGTAATAAACTATAGGCCTGACTTTTAAGCCTAGTACTCATAACTGCGAAATTCGCATTTTTTTGACATTGCTTCGTTAAATTGACGTTTGATACACGCATAAAACGTCAAATTGTCAACGCAATGTCAAAAAAATGCGAATTTCGCAGTTATGAGTACTAGGCTTTAAGCAGAACACTGTGCTGCACCATGCTTGAAGCATACAGCTAGAAAGCGGCTATAAGAAGAGAATAGAATACACACACATGAAAACTTTGTTTTCGTTTGTTCGGTTTGTTTCCGTGTTGTATGGGCATTGCCTGGGACATTAGGGGCTTTCATTTGTATCTGCTCCAAGCTAAGGCTCCAAACCGATCACACTCTCTAAGCTTGCGTTCGGTATTCTGCTTAAAGAGCAGAGCGTGCTGAAGCGCAGCGTAAGCACGTGACTAGCGAGCGCACAGAGCAGCTAAACGCCGTATCAGAGCGCTTGAAATTTTAATTATTGAACGCCAATGAGCCTGCACCGAGCACACTTTTTAAATAAACGAACGGTAAGTCCAAGCTCGGAGAACTCAAATGAAAATACCGAAAGCAAGCGAGGTATGTAGATGGAAGTGAGCTCCACTAGACTCCGTAAACGATCCTTGCCGTTATGCAGTAATGCAGAACGTGCACGTAGTTACTCTATTTACTCTTAGCATTCGGAGTACCCACGGAGCGTCAAGCAGAACGAGGAACCGATGAGAAATTTGAGTCCACTCGGTCAAGTGTCAAATCCGAATGCGTCTGCGTCAATATGTGTCAACAAAAGGGTGTGTGTCACCTTTGAAAAATATTAATTTTTTTATATATTTTCTAAATAATTGTAATTATTTAACAATTAGCAGTAACCACCATTAATATGAATATGTAGTAGTCATCTTAGTGCCATACATTTTCATATAGTTTTGCTTTTGGATTCTTCTTCTTTTATATTTGTTTAATTATTCCCAAATAACCACAATTTATCATTAAAAATGAGCTTTGTTAATATATTCAAAAGAAGAAAGCCCAAGGAAGAAACCACTGCTGCTATCATAGGTGAGTTTTGCCTAAAAATAGCCTTAAATTAAAATCGATAATACCTACAAATAAAAAAAAATGTATCTGCCACTCCGTATTATAAACACCTCAATTTCTAATTAGGTACTCCGACCAACGTAAATCATGATATTCACGTTAGCGTCACAGCAGACGGTTCATTGGAAGGGCTGCCAGGATCCTGGCTACGTCAAATCGGCACTCAAATAACCAAAGCAGAACAAAACGAAAACCCCGAGGTGGTCAAAAAAGTGCTGCAGTATTACAACTTTTCAGTGAAGAAACATGGGGTGCCAGGTCAGGAAATTGTCAAGCACATTTTCACCGAGCATGACATTGCCGAGGAATCCAAGGAGATGGATTTGTATATGCAATCAAAAGACGCACACAAGAGCAAAGATTCGGATTTATCTAGTGAAGACTCAGAAAAATCAAATAATTTCAATAGTAATCATAGGTCTACTGTTCCGCTAAACGTTGAGAAGGACTGTGGCAATAATTTATTGCAAACTAAAAATTTAGCGCAAAGCATAGATAACCTTACTATAGAAGCTGATGAAATTGAATATAGGAAACCTAGTATAACAGATAATGATATTTATAGACGAAGATCCAATATGAGTGATGACGATTATATGAGAGATATTAAGAAGATTTGCAATCCGGGAGACCCCTCTGATTTTTATGAAAAAACTTTAAAAGACTTGGGAAGCGGAGCTTCTGGAATGGTTTTCGCTGCTACCAACAAACGAACAGGAGAATTAGTTGCCATAAAAGATATTGATATGAAAAAGCAATCAAAAAAGGATTTGCTGCTTAGCGAAATTAAAATTATGAAGGACTTTCAACATAAGAATTTAGGTATTTATGGTATTAATTCAACAAAAGAGGAAATTAAGAAAATTATATTTTTTAGTGAATTTCTTGGATGCTTTTGTGGTAAATGTTGATCATTTATGGGTAGTCATGGAATTGCTAGATGGTGGTCCTCTAACTGACGTTGTTACCGAAACTGTGATGAAAGAAGGCCAGATAGCAGCTGTGTGTTATGAAGTACGTATAAACTTAATTTTTTTTTATTATAGTAAATAAATAAATAAATGTTTATTTACGGACTTGCCATTTTCAAATGAGTACAGGGTGTTTCCCGGAGGTGTTTCCTCATATTTTGACCCCTACCTACAACTTTAGCTTTAAGAGGTGAAAAAAAACTGTAAATATGAAAGTTGTATGGTTTTATCAGTAGGATATTTTGGCGCCTCTAAAACAAAAAAAATCGAATTGGAAAATTGTAATATACCATATGTTGATATTTTACGTTCAGCTGTTTTTGCGTTATTTAAGTTCAAAATCGCATTAAGTAAGCCTCACCATTGGTATAAGGAACTGGGAACAGACCTAATTTAGGGTAATGTAAATGCATTTTTAAACTTAAATAGCGTAAAAATGGCTGACTCAAATATCAACATACAGAGTGTATATTTTAAGTGATACCACTATTGCTATATCCGAAACGGTAAGAGCTACAAGGTCGGTTAAATTAGAAAAAAGTTGCCATTTTTGATGCATATTTAAGACTCGTTTACAGTGTTGCCAAATTCCTTTTAGTTTATGAAATACAGGTTCATAACAAAGGCCGAATTAAGGTAAAATTTTGGTAAAAATCACTGATGATCACTTTTTAGATCAGAAACGTCGGCCGAACATAATTAAGAGGTATATTGTTAAAAAGGGAATAAAGGGCGCATTCTTAAAATGACATAAAAAATCCAGGTCCGTATTTAAAAAAATGAAGTTAATGATGGTAGGTCGATCTCGAAACGTCGGATCTAAAATTTGACGATGTCATGTTGTAGAGAGAAAAAAATTATAAAACTTTCAAATTCAAATTGTGTCTCGTAAATAAATAGTTTTCGAAATAATTGATGAAATATTTTAAGGCGTTTCTTAGAAATCACCCTGTATTTCATAAACTGAAAGGAATTTGGCAACACTGTAAACGAGTCTTGAAAAAGGCAACTTTTTTCTTATTTAACCGACCTTGTAGCTCTTACCGTTTCGGATATAGCAATAGTGGTATCACTTAAAATATACACCCTGTATATGGTATATTTAGAAACAGGAGGAAAAGAATTAAAACTAAAAATATACAGGGTGTTCCATTTAAAAAAAAAAAAAAACATGATTTGGTCTTTTATTGTAATTTTGTGATATGCATCGCTAGAAGCGCCAAAATATTCTACCAATAAAACCATACAACTTTTTTACTTAAGTTTTTCTCCACCTTGTATAGTAAAAGCTGTAGTTAGGGGTCAGAATATGAAAAAACACCCTGTACATAGTACAAATTGATAAAAAAATAATTAAGATAGATAAAAATATAAATGAATAAAACACAATCACAGGGTTGCTTTTAGAAATAGCACCCTGGGTGTGAGAATGACCCTAGAATAACTCTAAACCGTTTATAAATTAACAGGTGTTTACTCGGAGCTTTATGCTGGAATCGTTTAGAAATCGAGAGTTGACATGTCCAGAGTGCGCCCAAATTACCCCACTCAGGGGGGGTTTATTTGAAATGTGCAATTCAAATACGTCTGACTAAGTCGCAATTTTTGCCGGTATTTCAATGCTAGAAAATGCGATTTAGTCAGACGAATTTGAATTGCACATTTCAAATAAACCCCCCCAGGAACATTGTTTTTTACCGGGTTTGACGTGATTCATAAAATTGACATTCATCGCAATGCCTCATGGCGTTTCCGATTGGTAGATTTAGTGCGCACTGAGTGTATTTGTATTCTTCCAATCGTCCTGTAGAAGAAAAAGAGAGAAATAGAAAAAATTGCACTAGTTCCGCACTAGATCTACCAATCGGAAACGCCATCAATTGCTTCAGAAATAGCGCACCCAGAGTGCACTCCAAGTGATGACGTCAGAACACTCTGACAAACAACTACTCTATAGTCCAACAAATACCATTTTAAAGTCACGTGATACTGGTGACAAAAAACGTATGTCCATTGATTATGTCGTTCATATCACCTACAAAATGCTACTGGTGATTAATTACTATTGAATTTTAGGATATGTTCCCACTAGCATTTTACAAACACGTTTCTAAAGTAGTATTAACCAATCAGAGGGCAATTTTAATACTTGCGAGACTCACTTTTGTCGTATCGGCTGTCTGTTTAATACATTCTGAACTTAAACTGGGTACCCGTTTTCTATTTGCTTCTTTTCGAGTTAGAAAAAGGTTAATATAGTCAAAATTATTAGCTGTGTTCGTTCATTGTATTATTTACGAAAATAACTTTGACAAACTAATTGATGACAGTGACGGATTCTATTTCAGGTAAGAATAATATGAAGCATAATTAGACAGCAATTTTTTTGTCAATTTTACTATCACCTCTGTTTGAGATGTATTCAACAAGGATAGAGAAAAATCACGTGACTTTAAAATGGTATTTGTTGGACTATACCTTCACACTCCATTTCTAAACGCACTCCAGTGTTGACGGTTAAAAAAAAAACAGAAAGATAGAAATATCAGTTTCAGTATGGTAGCATAGCATACATAAAAAAAAACATCAATCAACAACAATAGGAAGCACAGTTTAAAACAATTTTCCTTACCTAACCATTATACTAAAAGTATCAACCATAGTTTAGGTAAATTCATCCATCTCTAGTTCAAGCAGACTTTTTTTTTAAGCGTATTGTAACTTATGTTGAAAAAATCAATATCAAGCTCATTTATTACCCTATTGGCCACATTACACATTCTACACAAACTGGACATTCATATTCCAGACCTCATCTAACATAGCTACAATACAGTACCCTAAAGCAATTTATCTACAAGCGTTTGGTTATGACGTTTTTACATAACCATTTTTCTAGTATTTGAGTTGTCATGAGACTCATAACACAACTAGTGGTGTTATAGACTAGGTTATAAATGCATAACACAACTAGTGGTGTTATGGACGAGGTTATGAGTCTATAACAGAATTATTTTTAGTGATTTGACAAATGTCAAAGGTAAAATGCAGGTAGACAACTAATAATGAACGAAAATAATTGGAAAAATATTCTTATTTTTCGCTATGTAGATAAAACGTTGTACATCACACGTGCGTTTAAACATGACTACAAAACTCGCATGATTAAAACGACTCGGTCTACAACCTCGTCGTTCTAATCCTCACACTTGTTATCAAAGTTTGATTGTGTTCTGGCAACAAAACCCAACATTTTTAGTGCCTTATTGTTGATAAAGTTTATATGATAATCAAATCGCAATTCATCATTGATATAAATCCCAAGATCTTTGATTTTATCGACTCTCTCCAAAAATTGATTATTGATATTATAGGGAAAGAGTATGTTACTTTTTTTTGGGGATATTGTCAGAACACTACATTTCTTTACATTCAATTCTATACAGTTAGCTTTAACCAGGAATAAAGTTTATCAATATCATTTTGCAATTTAGGCTCGAATTTACGACACTCATTTTCATTTTCCACCCTCATAAACATTTTCAAATCATCAGCAAAAAATAAATTACAGCCAAAATCCAGAACAGTAACAAGATCATCAATAAAGAAATTAAACAGTAGAGGAGTCAAATGAGATCCCTGAGGGACGTCCGATGGCATATCAAATTCACCCTGTCAAAAGCCTAGGAAAAATCAGTGTACAGGGTGCTGCAATTTGGAGTGTTTTAACAGGAAAAACACACTTCCAGACCAGGTAGACGAAAATTGACTTAGATGTCATGAGATTGATTTTCGAGAAACGTCGAATGTCAAAAACCGCATCGCGATATCTTCAATTAGGCAATTGACCTTTTGTTTGGACGCCATATTGCGGTGCGCGAACTTGGTTGCCAAAAGTAGAAAAAAATAAATTACTAGGGTACTGTCAACATTGAAAACAAAAGTTACTGAATAAATTACATTTAAAATTTAAATTTGCCGCCTATTGCGAATGTTTTTGTAAAGAAAAGCCATCAATTTCAGCTGAGATGGCCTTTCTTTTCAAAAACATTCGTAATAGGCGGCAAAGGACCCCGCACACCTCTTAAGGGTTTTTGGTTTTCTGTCAAACTCAATGAAATTTTGATATGTGTTAGACCTTGACTTCCTGATAAAAAGTTCTCATGGGCCCGAACCAATCCTATGATTAGTTTTTGAGTTACAGGTACTTTTATGTCCAAGAAATGTATACATTTTATATGTATTCACATCTACCTGTCACCTAATAAAGGTCTGTTTCTGCAAAAATCACAAACTTGTCAGAGCGAATTTGATTGGTCGAAAACAGTCAGAAAACTAGTCAGAAAACTAGTTACAACCAATGAAATTCACTCTGACAGACCTAATAATAGGTGACAGAGATGTGAATGCATATAAAATGTGTACATTTCTTGAACATTAAACCACCTGTATTTCGGAAACTAATCATAGTATCGGGTTGGGCCCATGAGAACTTTTTATCAGTAAGTCAAGATATACCACACATCAAAATTTCATTGAGTTGGACAGAAAACCAAAAACCCATAAGATGTGTGCGGGCGGGGTCCTTTAAATTTTAAATGTAATTTATTCAGTAACTTTTGTTTTTAATGTTGACAGTACGCTAGTGAATTTTTTTTTTCTACTTTTGGCAACTATGTTCGCGCACCGCAATATGGCGTTCAAACAAAAGGTCAATTCAATCCATCTGTCAAAACGGAAAATTCAATGTGACGTGGCGGCCAAGCAAGTTTGTTTTGGATATGTTTTTATGCGTATTTTAAATTATTTTGCATACAGTTTTGCTAACAACTTTGATTTTCATTATTTAATAAAATATTTGTTGACTAGGTACCTGAACTATTAATTCCGGCAGAAACTAGATATTTTTTTGTGTTTTTTGGCCCATGTGTGGCCGCCACGCCATCTTGAATGTCACGTGGTTTGAATTGCCTAATGGTACCATTAATACAGGGCGATTTTCGATATTCCCCTATTATGAAAAATGGCTATAAGTTTTTTATT